TTAATACATAGAGCAATGAACGAAACGGCTGGGCTCAATCATCCCCCCCCTCAGATCGCTTCTTCTTTCGAGGACCTTGTTGCTGATGAGTTCGTCGTCTCTTCTTCTTCCGTACTGGTGTTGATGGTGATGCAGCATAGTTGAAGGGTCTTGTTGTCACTCGAGTTGATCTTCGCACCAGTTGATCTCCTTGGTGGAGATACACAGAACCATGGGCTGGCTTCGTCGAATTAGCAGACTTATCAATGACGTCGCTGCTTCCTACTGCAGTTGTGTCATGGTGGTCTTCATGTGATCTATGAGCTTCATGGAGCTCTTCTCTTAATGGCGACTCGACGGTCACCGTAGTATGGTCTTCTGGTACTGGCTCTTCAGCTGCCGATCCGAGCCCACCATCATCGTCGACATCATCATGGACTGGTGTTATTAATACCTGTTGGGCAACACTTGGTATTACCGGACTACTATCGACTTGCACAAACTGAAAGTCGTCTTCCTGAGATATCGACGATCTTAATGGAGGTTGTTGAGTAAGCATAGGACTCGTTGATGTTGATGTAGCAGTATCGTTGGATTCTACTTGACGAACATTAGCAAACTTCAATGCATTAGCATGAACATAGTGACTTTGCTTCGTCTTGAGGTTCTCAATTCGCAGAATAACTCTTGTAGGATAGACTTCGACAACTCTATAGGGACCAACCCACTTAGCATTTAGCTTGATTCTTCCAGGTCCATGATACCAATAGACCAAGTCACCTGCTTCAAAGCCATGTCTACTCACAGCACCATATCGTCGTTCATGTCGCCGTCTTCTCAGCAAGGCCCTGGCTTTAATGCGCTGCTCAACCTGGACATTGAGAGAGTCATCGCGTCCACGAAGGTATTCCAAGGGGGAGTCGTATGATATGGGCTTGACCGTCTTCGGTGTTAGAAATGGCAATACCTGTCTACCAAAAAATACAGTAGCGGGTGCTACGCCCGTTGTAGCATTACGAGTAATGTTATAACTGAAAATTAAGTAAGGCAATTGAGATTTCCAATCATCACGTTCACGGAATGTTCGTAATAAATTGAATATAGAAGAATTCATACGCTCGATCATCCCATGGGAATATGGGGCCCTACTCGGCGAATGGTCTTGCTGTACATTAAACGATCGGAGTACTGATCTTACTTCGGGACTCTTCAGATTAGAGCCATTATCACATAACAACCGTGTTGGAGGACCATATGTCAAGAAGAAATCGATAAGGTAAAGGGCAGTATGAATACCATCAGCAACGTTAGCTAAATATACTTTAGTAAATTTAGAGAATGCATCTTGTACGACAAAAATCATTTGGCCTTCAATAGTCAAATAGTCTATAAGAATTATTTCTAGCGGATAACTAGGCAAAATTGAACGAAGTTGTTGAGGATTAGGTCGTATACTTTTAACACGTTGACAAATATCACAGCTTGTAGTATAGAACTCACAATCAACACTCAAGTAAGGCCAGTATGCTACTTTACTTATCAGGTCACTCATACGAACCGCTCCACAATGTCCTGCATACACCGAATCATGATGGCTCTGGAGCATACGAGGGCGTAGCGCAGGTGGAATATATACCACAGGTAAACCAACAGCTTTCTTGTAGTGAATCAAACCATTTCGCATGGTATAGCCTCTTTCACCTACAGTAGGAGCATTTGGGTCTTGTTCTTGTGCTCGTCGAATTTCTTGTAGAGTAATTGGTTGAGGTGCCATTTGAGAACTCCTAAATATCCTGGTTGGTAGAATCTTCTTCGAGTAGAACTTGATGTGAGCTTGATATACAATTGACACATCATCATCCTTCTTGTCATCGGTGAAAGTCTTCTCGTAGGTCACCATCATATCCAAGAGTGGATGCCGAGTCAGCTGATCACTGGGGTTCTCCTTGCCATCGATATGCTCAACCTGCCACTTACAACCAATAGCGGTAAGTAACTCTCTGATGATAACATATTCTCGATGTATAAGTTCGACATGGTTACGGCTCGCTGCTGGGATAGATTTTACACGCTCGTTCTTAATGACATTATATACCACCTTGGAGTCGGTGTAGAACTGTATAGGGCCAATATTCTTCTTGGTCAGCGTCTGGAGTCGACTGATATAACTAATTGAAGATCGTAGAGCAACCAGTTCCTTGTACGCAATGTTCAGTGAGGCCCGATCGAAGGGTAGAATCTCGTTATCTTGGTGAATAAGATTACCATTTTGATAGATCATGTAGCCAATAGCATTCTTTGAGCTATCTACGTAGATGGTAAACTTCTCCTGGGGGTTAATGTACATGGGGACCATGAGTGGCTCGAAGGTAACCGATGCTCTTATCCATTCTTTTGCTATTTCATGAAGTCCTTCTTTCAGATTGTCGCACCACTCGTCACCATTCTCATTCCGTTCACGGCTGGCTATAGATTGGAACTTGTAGCAGAGAGACTTTAACCAAGGACTATATACAACCGAATATTTGGGGATAGAGCCAACCAAGGAGTGGAGATTTTGATAGGTAATACTGGACTCGTTGAGAAACGTCTGCAGCTTCTGCTTCCATTTCGTATCTTTGGTACGACTAAATGTTATATACTTGGTCTTGTGCTTGTTGACAATGATCACTCCGAGTATGTCAGTAGCAGGCTCTATGTCAATGTTGATCACCTTCCGAGGGGATATAAGAAAATCATACTGTCGCAGAATATCATTCACTTTAGCCAGGTCGTCAATAGCGTTCTTGTAGCTTCCAACCAGAACATCATCCATATAATTTTTACACAGTATTGGTTGTCTCATAGGTACCAACCTAATACAATACCGGACCGACGTCTCCAGACACCAGGGAGCAACATTAACACCATAAGGGAGATTCAAGAATCTCATAGTACAATAAGAACCGTCAGGTAGTAGTACTCGAGTATCAGTCAGTGATGAGAAATATTTACCCAGACGTATACATGTAAAGGCATCACTTATATCTAAGGCCGCGTGGGAAGGGTAGGCTCGTGCTTCTAATAACAAATCAGGTATCTGAGATTGCTTAAACGCCATATCACTACAGCGTTCGTGTAGGTGCTGGTTTACATAGATGAATGTGAGGACAACTCTGGGTCGCTTACCATGAACGACATAGTAATTCTGGATAACAGATGCAGGGGAACCAGGTGATAGGCGTTGTACTTTCCCGTCTCGTCGCCAATTGGACCAAATATTATACGAAGCTTTTCGGTCTTCTTCCGGACACTGTATCATCTTTGTGTGTAGACGGCCATATCTCTTGTACTCGGCAATGGTCATCGGCTTCACAGTACCGGGCTTGATCTCAACAGTGAAACATTTAGTATGCTTCGTAGTATCATAAGTGAGATATAAAGCGATCCAACCAAGGTCTTGGACTGTATCAAGTATCTTCAGATTTGATGGCAGTGTCTCATTCGTTGTTACTTGCTCAGGTCGTCGTTGTACCAACGCATTAGTCACAGCTTCTTGAGGGCGTCGTGGTTGACCAACTTGTCGCTGAGGAGAATGAAGTCGAACCGATGTAGTATGACCGAAAGGACTAAGGGATATACGGGGCGGATTAGTCGACTGGTCAATAGAAATACCTAGACGTCGTTGGAGTGCTCGTCCTGCAATAATTGGCTCTATAATATGCTTTGCTATAACAAATGAATAATTGATGGTACAATTGATAGATGGTATATTCAATGGTAATATTACACTTCCATAATTCGGTAGCGAATCGCCATCGGCAGTATATAAGTTAGGAGAATAGTCAGTATATATCAACTTATTATAGCGACTCAACTTTTGTACAACAACATGATCTATTAGTGAGTGTTCGCTACCAGTATCGATGAATAATGAATAATTAGTAGAAAAGATTGAAATAGGATAAGTTAACCGCGTCGAAAAATCAGATAAGGATACACACTCATCACTTTTTACTGTAGATGGGACTGGATCATGCGGTCTGAGCCGGCCCCATTGCCGTTTCCCGACAGATCGGCTCCCATAGTATCAATATAGTTGATGTTCATATCGATATCGTCATCATAGTTGGACGGCTGTTTTCGACGATCAGGTCTGAAACCTTTACCACTGAAGCGGTTACCACCTCGACGCTCGGCCTCATCCCTCAGGCGTTTCCTACACTGACGCCATAGGTGGCCAGCAATACCACAGTAGTCACAGACAGGACGGTAATAACCATTGCTGGGGTAGGATCTAGAAGAGCGCATACTTCGGGGACCAAACCTCTGTCCACGGCGAGACCAATTATAGCTACCGCGACCTTTCCCTCGACGAGATATATAATTAACTAACCAATGCTGTTCTTGTCGTATAGCCTCTGTCAGATCTGCGATCGCAGCAACAGCTGGATCTGGATCGGAGGCCTCACCAATTTTCACAGAAGGTAGTTGTTGAGGCTCGACTTCTGGAGCTGCAGTTGTTGAACTCGTAGATACCGTTACAGGGGTCACCGATTTCTTCTTAGTGTCAGGCTGAATGGCTTGTAGTCTCTTTGCCATACGAAGTGCTTGCTGTAAATTCTTGATGGTCTCTCTGGCTTTTCGTAGATCAAGTTGTAAACCAGCTGGTAACGATGCAATAAACTTGGCCACAAGTAAGGCATCTCTTGCGTCGCCCTCCAAAGAAAGTCCGCTATTATCCAGGAGCTCGGTCAACCGGTAAGCATAGTAGTCAAGGGTCTCAGCAGAAGAGTAGGTGGCGTTAGAAAAGTCGTCGAAGGCGGTGCTCTCTTCAGGCGCCAGCTCCTTCTCTAGGCTTGATAAAGCCGTGCCCAAAGTCTTCCGCTTCTCATATGGTATCCGTGAGAATGATAGTAGGGCAACTTTCTCAAGTAACGTGGGAAGCTTCTTCAAGGCCACGTCATCTCCCCATTCATTAGCTTCCTGGCAGTATC